CCTCTGTACCCTAGTTTGGTACATGTTCTTACATGTCATTTAATGTGTTGTGTGTGTTGAATTAGATAATCAACTACTTCGTTACGTTTTATTTGCACTACGTGACCTCGTTTCACTACCTATGCAATATTAAACTGAATATTATGACAACAAATAATGAAACCAACAACACTATGCAAGGTCCAATAATAGAGCACATTAATCAACATAACAACATTTGAAGTACATGACGACAAACTAAAAGTGCATTACATGACAACACAATGCAAAGTCCAAGATTAGACAACATTGTTCGTGTATATACCATAGAAATAGCAACTCATGAAGACTACTGAGTGCAACGAGGCCACTTTCTCTTCCTCTGGGCATCGGGATTCTCCTCCATCGCTGCCTTCGCTCGCTGCGCACGCTCAAGCTTCCTCTCCCTCTCCTCCCTGTGCGAAGCAACACGCCTCTTCCTTGTGCTCCTTTTCTAGAGCCTCCTCTCTGCGTCTCTTCTACATCATCTCCTTGTCTTTTGCCTCCCACCGTAACAGTTCTGTATCCACTTCTTGTCTTCCAGCTTGATCTCAGTGTCGATCCACTGCTCAAAATCATAGAGCGGTGGAGGGGTCTGCAACAAATGCAATGGTTACAAAACAAATAAATCATGGAAGACTTCATTTGACACAATAAATATTAAACAATATTAATTTCTCACAATCTTGTTAATGCGGCGCTGACGAAGTGTAGGCTCAAACGCAAAATTGGCACACATCCAATACATCTGCCTATACGTGTCCTTCTCATCGGACTTGACTACCTTGCAAGGATCGCTGCAAAAGAACATGGGCACTGGAACACCACTAGACAGAGGCAACGGATCGAAGACATTTCCGGTCATCCGGTCATAACTACACTTGAACATAAATACAAAAAATAAAACATAATACAAAAAATAAAAACATAATATAACACGATGATAAGATATTACCTTTGCTTACTAGTTTTACCATGCCTTGGTATCCTACCGTCACATAATACAAAAAATAAAAAATCACTTCAAACATTAGGTACTAACGTATTTAGGGTTGTAAAATAGACGTGATATAAACCAAATCAATGCGTAAAATTTGATAAGGGGAGAGAGGATACCTTGCTCGCGAAGATGTATAGATCAAATCCAAGTATCCAAGGTCAAATGCGTCGATTCAAGAGATTGGACGGGGGTACGGCGAGAAAGAAACCGAGAGGGGATGAAGGAATGAGAGCAGCGTCGGCAAGAAAAACTTGGGTTTCGATTATAAATCAATACTCGGCGCCATAATACATGGCGCCAAGCTCGATGCCAAGATCTGTGGTGCCGAGGTTAGCGCCGAGGTGCCAACCACGTGAACGCCACTTAGGATGGCATGTTGTGCTCGGCCATATACCTTGACGCCAAGATCTGTGGCGCCGAAACATGTTACTTCGACGTCATGATTACTGACGTCGACCCCAGGGTCAAAGATGAGTTTAAATCTCATAAGGAGCTAACGTAAATTTTTCTTAAAAAAAATGATCGAATCGTAAAAAATTAGAGATGACCGACGGCGACGAGACAGCGACCCCACCATCACCGATGGCGGGGCGGCGATGCCGTGCCTCCGGCGCTCGCCCCGCGGTCCTGTATCCCAGCTTCCGCTGCACATCCCAGGAGCTCTCCAGGCCGATATTTCTGGAATCATGGTGTTCATAGTGTTGTTCCACACATATTCAGTCCACGCAGATAGATGCTCTAACTGAGATGCAGTTTGGATCTCTCAATGCACTAATTACACCAAATTGTATAATACCTGTTGGAGAGAGTCGGTTGGTTAGTGCGCCATTGTTTGATCTTGAGCTGCTGGTTGATTATAAGCTACTCGACTCGAGATAAGGATTGTTAGGGGTGATTTCCTGCAGCCATCAACTACTGCTCCATCTGAACTTTGTGTGCTCCATTCTCTCTGTACCTATATTGCATCTATTAGCAATTGGTTCAACCTGCCTGGCTGTTAAATTTGTTTTCCCAATGGGTTTCTACTTCCCTGTTACTGCTAAATGGAAGTGCCAGAGTTGCTCCTTTATTGACTGTTGGCTCTGCAAGATGGATGGCCAATAGTTTGTTGCTACATGAGAGGGAAATTGTTGAAGTCACACAGATTGAAATGAAGGCTTTGTTGGACTACAACCTGACCTCAATACTTATGTTGGACACGCTTTTGGCCACCACTTGTTTATTCAAGGTTGGAGTGAATGGGTCCACGACTTGCTGCATTGAGTTGCAGCCATGGCCACCTCCTGAAATACTTCATACTAACATTAATAGCAAGTTGGTTGAGACAGGTTCAGTTGCCAGCAAATTGATTGTTCTTGCTCGTGTGGTAATGACCAGAGCTCAACCGGAGATCATGTGTGATGGAGCTAAGCTGCTGCCAACATTGTGGTCCTTACTCAGTTCTAGATACCTCCTAATTGCAGATGCAGTGGTGTTCTTAAAACAAATGCCATGGGAAGATTTCAGTTACAGGAATGTGAATTTTGTTCAAGCTACCAAGGTGGAGGCTTCAACATTGGACAACCTGCTGACATCCATGGCTCAAGGACATGTTTCAGTACTTTCATCATCGTCTTACGGCAAGCCGAAGCTAAAGAAGGGGGGAACGTCGGGCTTAATGGGCCAGCGCGTGCTGTCACACAAACCCCAGCAAGAACGGGAGCAATAAAAACATGGCAGCAGTAGCAGATCGGGGCATGAAAGAATTATTCAGAAATCCCAACAAGGTTCTCTCCTTCCCCAGATCCCGCTCTTCCTCCTCGGTCTTCTTCTTCAGCCTACCTTCTATCTGAAGCTCTCTTCGATGTACCTCTGATCGAGCCTCTGATCTGCTCTGATTTCCCCTCCTGCTTCCTTCCCTGAACTCTTCCCTACTGTATTGGATCACATAGCGCTGGTGCTTATTGTTGTGTGGAGTAATATGTGTTCCATCGTATAGAGAGCTGCTAACAGGGACTCAAGGCCGCACAGCGCGCCTGTTGTCTGATGCCACACCGCCTGCCCTCTTGAGCTACGGCCGCGCCAGACCCAGACCCTGAGCGCGCCCAGCAGCGCCCGCCAAGTTTGCACCCAGGATCCAGGATTCAGCACAGCACTGGTGGAAAACACAAGCCACGAGCCCCTTTAGCCCTGTTTGGAGCCAATTCTAGACCGCGTACGGTGAAAAAAGAGAGCAGGTGGACGGCCCCTACCAGTTGCACCGTGTCTAGCAGGACACGGTCTACAATAACGGCAAGATTTCTTTTGGTCGATCATTAGATATAACTGAATATATCCAAACGCTAAAAGTTAAGTTACAAGACAATGAACGCTGAAATATAACACCACATGTGTATGATCTGGTGCTTCCTACATAATACATGCTAACTCAAGGCAGCAGCATTTCACAACACCGGTCATTAGACACAAGAAAACCCAGGGCAACCACATGCATATTAGAAGACAGATGGTGAGATACAAAAGACTGCATCCGCTCCAAGCCTCCAATGCTCCAATCTGGATGGGAACCTGTTCCTGCAACCAAATGGATGCAGTTATTAGAACATCAAACCACCATTGCAGAAAGAAAATGCATCCAAAAACGTTTACTTAATTGCTTTCCACAGTTACTGTGCTAAGGCATAATTTGAAGGGTGGACTACTCACGGTTCAGGCAAGTTTTCGCTGAAAAAGTAAAGATGCATATAACACTAACATGCTTTTTTTTATATCTGAGCTGACAATCTTACTGCAGTAAACATTGATGTAGAAAACACACCCATTACACAGCATCGGTTTCAGTTTGCAGGTACAAAAAGATGACAAAAGTTGAAATGGTACAGCTCCCCAACAAATTGACTTGTGCAACCAGGCCTAACTAGATTTAACAAGGAACAAGATCTGGGATTCCAAATAAGTTATAACAATACTAGAATAGGCAGAAGCTCATTCTAACTGAAAGGCCTATGTAGCTGAGTCTAGTCTCATAAGCCTGAATTTTACAGCAAACTGATCAAAAGACTATACTTTTGTAGACCGGCAATGCTGTTTGGAAAACACTACAGAACTAGTACCACTCAGCTCAGCTGCTCCAATGGATCATAATATAATTAGCAACTTTAAACTGCAACCAGGTGAGCCTATCACAGTCACAAATACAGACACTAGAGAACATGAAGTTTCATAAAGTTATGCCAAGTGAATAGATCAATAGAAAGAAGCCTTTGCCAAAGTTCAGGATATTTGCATAAGCATGAGATGGGAGGCAAGGAGGGAACAGATATAAGCCCTGCATTACCGAAACTAGTCATTAAACAATTCCCAGACTAGTAATTAAACAGTACCTAGACTAATCATATGTGAACAAGGTCACATCCTCACAAAGTCACAAGCATACAAACCCTTTCTATATTTGAAACAAATGCCCAGAAGCTTGTCGATAAACTAGTGCTTATCTTTTTATTTATTTCATGATTTTTTGAATACTGTGGGATGGATGCTCCATGAGATATAGTTTTCATAGTACGACGCTATTACATACCCACTACTTGATGAAACAGCAAACAGATCATGAGTGAATTCCTGAGTGCGCTTTACCTTTGCTACACCAGAGAATACACAGGACAAGAAAAATCATGTTAACAAGAACAGCCTGCAAATCTCTAACGGAAGCAAATTGTCAAACAGCACATGAACTATGTACAGATGCATTAGAAGAACTGGCTGAAGGACATTATAAACAAAGGCTTATTTGGCTCATCTTAAGCCCATCTCATGAGCCACTTTTTTTTCATGACAAATACGCCCAACAGGCCCTCTTGATGTAGAGTTGTAGACCAACAATGCAAGCAGACTGTGCTGGGTGCTTACTAATCGCTGATTTCACACAACCAGTGCCCAAATGTACAAATCTGTGAAATGCAAGAGGCAAGACTTACAGTAAAAAGTGTACCTCTCCACATCCTCAAATCCTCCTTGGTGACATAGATGGTGGGAAACCAAAATATGGATAGGCACGGCCAGGAAAACTTGTCCTACTGACCCTCTCAATATTAAAAGACTTAATCTCAAGTGACAAAACTGTTGAATATGTTGAACTCTCTCCATCTCGAATGCATTCTATGAAAATGTATCCTTCAGCTGGACCACCAATGTAGCATTTACTAGTATAATGGGCAGGCAAGGGGATGGTACTCATCATATGCCACTCCTGGGACTTCTCACTGCCATTTTGTGAAAAGGTGTAATAATCGACAGATGTGCTTTTATAACTCAGACTAAACATCGCAACCTTGCTTTCCCCTGACTCCACCATGACGATTTCCCGCTCATCATGGCCAGGTGGGAGGTCAACAGTGCAAAACTGCATAGTATTCATGTCGAACTTGATCGACGTGCTCATGTTGTATAATTTCCAATAGAAGCAGTCATAGGCACATTGGCCTGAAACCAAAACACCAACTCTGTTCAAGCCCAGATCGTTGCAATTGGTAGACATACTGACACTCCAGCAGCCAGAGAGTGAAGAGAAGACAAGTACCCCAACCTTGTGTGGGAATGCATCCATTGGATCACGCTGAATGATGTATCCCCCTCTATGCCTCCTGAAAGGCCTCCTGATTGGATAAAGGAGGCCATGGGATGGAAAATACTGTGGTTTTGGAGCTCGACGGAGGCGAGTAGGTCGTCGGTTATGGGAGGCAGCAGCAGGTATCGCCGGGACAACAGGTCGCACACCGCGAGGTCCCAGTAGGCGGCGCCTTTAATGCTACGGCACCCGACGAGGACACGGCCGTTGCGGACATCGCACGGACGCCAGCGGAGCCATTCGGTGGTGGGGCGAGTGAGGTGGTCGAAGGAAAAATCAGCAGCCCGGGCGACAGCAGCGGAGGGATGGGGCGCCTTGACAGGGTGGAAGCCAGAGGAGCTGACGAAGCCAAGGAGTAGGGGCGGGTGAATGGAGCGGTACCGGCGGAGGAAGGAGTGGTCAGCGATGAGGCGGCGGAAGGAGACGCAAGCGGTGGAGGCTCGGGCGAGATCCGCAGGGGAGGCGACGCGGAGGAAGATCTCCTCGAGGAGGTCGTTGGTTAGGTCCGGCGGCGGCCGCTCTGGCTCCGCGGCCTCGGGGTTGGGGAGGGTCAGGCGAACCCTCGACGCCATAGTGGGTAATCCTACCGGCCACCGGCGAAGAGAGGACGGGGACTGAGCATCGAGGTCTCGGGGCACCCCAGATTTTAGGGATATTTAACTTTTTACCCTAACAACGGACGTAGTCTCTTAATATATCACTTTTAAAATTACTCATATATATTTATCATCGAGACAGAACAATTAATACGTTCTTGTTATTTTTACTGACGTGACACACCAACTCGACCAGACAGTATAGACCGGCCACAGGAAATGATATTTTTACCCCTCATCTATTTCTTCTATCTCTATCCCTTCCTTGCTCGAGCTCCGACCATAGACAACGATAGGGTCCATGGCGGTGGCTGACAGGACATAGGGGAAGTTGAGGGTGAGGCAGCCGGGGCCATGGCCTACAGGTCCACGGCCGCGCCCGACGCCGGCGACGAACATGGCGGCACCTGGAGCACGTGCAGGAGCACGGCCTCCTCGGCGCCGGCGTTGAACATGGCGGTCCTGTGCCTCCTCGTGCTCGTGCTCCTCTGCTTCCTCGCCGGTGGAGGACGCGCATCCTCGGGCACAGAAGAGCTGTGTCACGTCTCTTCATGCGCGGTCGCTGTCGGTACCAGCGAGCCAGCTTCCCCCGCGCTGCGACGAACATGGTGGCACCTCGTCGGACCAAGGAGCTCGCGCGGCCAGAAGGGGAGGAGCCGGACCTCGCGCGCGTCGCCGGGGATTTGGAGCAGCGACCGGAAGGGGAGGAGCTGGACCTCGCGCGACCGATCATGGGGGAGGCACGCCGGGGATGGGGACGCACGCGCGGTAGAGCCCACGCGTGGCGGATCTCATGCCTGCGTTCACCATCGGAGCAACGCTGCTAGCTGGGGTGGTGCGCAGACCTCGCGCTTGTCGGCTTCATCTGTTGCTGCTCGCGTCTGGGAGGGAGGAGGAGGCAGAGCTGAGAGGCGCGTAGGCCGGGATGCATCTTTACCATTGCTAGCCATGGTCAGAGCTCAAGCGAACGGATGAGGCAGACGAAGAAGAAATTGATGAGAGGTAGCAAAGTCATTTCGCATCCCACAGACACGTTGCCTTCCCTACGTGTCATGCCATGTTTGCAAAAATGACTTAAAATTATGAATTCTTCTGTCTCGATGATAAATATGTATGAGCAATTTTAAGAGTGATATATAAAGAGACGACATTCGTTATAATGATAAAAAGTTAAATATCCACAGATTTGGGCACGGGCTGCAGCCTGGACAATGGAGTGGGATGGAAAGGTTGGCTTTGGGCTTCGTGGCGGCGTTCATGCGATGACCGATGAGGCCTGGAGAGCGACTGTTCGAGGGCTGTTTGCTTGAGAGTTGAGATCCAGGCAGCTTTGCGTGGCACAACTTTTGTTTAGTGGCATTTGCTCAAAAAAAAACTTTTGTTTAGTGGACCGAGCGCCTGTTTCATGGATTATGACTGACCACTAATCATATTAGCTCTTATAAATGGACTAATAAACTAACAACTAGTCTATGACTAGTGGACTAACAACTAGTTCACCTGTTTGATGTTTATATAGGGACTAAAAATTAGTCAACTACTTCATCCATCCTAAATTATAAGATGTTTGACTTTTTTTATCTCAAGTTTGATCACTCGTCTTATTCAAAAAATTTGTGCAAACATAGTCAAATTTAAATCATTCTTGAAGAACTTATGTTTGTACAAATTTTTTGAATAAGGCGAGTGGTCAAACTTTAGGTTAAAAAAGTCAAACGTCTTATAATTTAGGATTGATAGAATAGTTGTTAGTTCTATGCCCCTGTTAGCTTTACTGAAAAGTTATAGTTAAAAGTACTGTTCATTTGATTTGTTGTGAGAGAAAAACATTGTTCGATTCATTTGAACTAAATACGGCTCATAAGACAAGCGAACTATCTAATGGGTGATGGCCTGGAGTATATGTTCAGTGGTAACTTTTGTTTAGTGGCATGTTTAGTGGGCTAAGCTGTTTGAATTCAATATATGCTAACAGTTAGCTGACTAACAGCTCATATCTAATATTAGCTAGCTAAATATTAGCTATATATTAGCATAAGGGTATTTAGATGCACGCCTAATAGTTGATGCACTCCCAGAAATAACCTCGCTCCATTCCATCCACACTGAGGTTTCACCGATGGGAAGAAGCTTACAAGGTGGTCCACGACCAAGACAACAGTCCAAACAAATGATGTGTATGGAGGTGCAGGTGGAGTCGGGCGTCAACGCCGTCACCGGCATGGCGGAGGCAGAGGCGATGGCGTCGGCCAGGTCCATCAGCCTGTTCGGGAGGCCGTAAACAATCGTGGATTATTTACTGCTGGCTAGTTTGGTGTGAGAGAAAAACACTATTTCAGCTGGAAATTTACGATCGTTTACAACCCAGCGAACAAGCTGTCTCCGCGGCGCCACACTCACAACCCCACCCCAACTAATCGTCGTTGGCGTTGGCCATGTACGAGCGGGTGACACGCATGATGAGCTCTCTCTCACACACACACATATATATATATAGGGTAAGGTTATTCTGCAGCTGGCCATAAAATAATTTATTCTATAGCCACCTTGATTTACCATAATGTTTGTACCAATTTACGATAACATGAATATGCATTTACGATAATCGTGTTACTATAACTTACGGTGATATTTACCATAATGTTATAGTAAATCACTTAGTAATAAGTTAGTATAATCTGGTAAATTAGCATAGTAATTATCATAATTTAAAGTGACCACATAATAAGTTATTCTATGACCAACTACAGAATAGTATTAATATATATATATATATATATTAATACTATATATATAACACATCTTTTACACTTTCGTTCAGATTCCGTGTAAAAGGGTTAGTATAAACATGCTACTTTTGAAATGTCAAGGATTATAACGTAGCTAGAACCTAAACAATCAAGATGGCACTAATTCCACCCAGAATACAACACATGAGCCATAACAGGCCGAAACTAACACCAAGGGCGTCCCAACAAGGTTGCCCTCGCTAGCTATTTGCCTACATGGATAGAGAGAACATGAAATCTTTAGTCGCTAGCGATGAACTCAGTTGCTCAGCTCGCAGACTCCCTAGTGCACCACCATCTCTGACTGCACGGCCCACTCGCATTTATACTTCCTGGCTGGACTTTTTTTCCCTTTTTTTATTCTCAACCGGCAGGTGATTTAGAACTCCTCGTTGAGGACGCCCTAATAGACCGGGATATTACAAGTAGCTCAAAGGGTCCAAATTGGCTACCACTAATCGTAATTAAGTAATTAGCATGTTGGCTAATAACAATTAGCACATGTGTCTAACGACGTAATTATTTGTTAATTGATCATCTAATTACTTTAAAAACAAATACTATGTGTGTACAAAATAATGCCGTTATATAATGGCCCATTGTATTGATGAATGTTGCCAAAAATTTAAATGTATTAATGATAACGAATCTCGATTTGGGGTGAAGAACCGCGGGGGTGTGAAGATTGGGGTTTGATAATCCTACGGTAGTGTATATGGTAATAATCTGGACATGTGTTCCTTTTACGCTTGTGTACGTAACTCAATGTAAGCGGAAATATTGATCCGCGCTCAATCTTGAGAATACATGGCTTTATATGTGCCCATGTTATGAGTGATGAGTGGTTGTTAAGGAGATAATCAGAGCTTTGGTTAAGTGTGTGTGGGATTAAGAGCATTTTCAAGAGTGCCCCGTATCCTTTCCTATCCATGTTTTTTTTGAAAAAAAGAGAAAAACTCATCTCAAGAGTACCCTATATCCCTTCCACATCTTTTGGCACTTGGCAAACTATAACACCTCTGGTGTTACGAGCTCGTCTAGCACCTAGATTTAGACCTAAGAGGATTTACCGAAACGATTTTCTCGGATTTTAAAATTTAACTTATATTTAAAAGTGTTAATTTTGACGAATTATATTGAACAACGGGTTAATTAGTTTCTAGATGTTTTGTTTCTACGAGTTAGTATGACGTATGGACTAGTGCTTAAACATGTCTAATAGCAAAAGGGCATGTTCACTTGAACTTATCAGCTAGAATCTACAGTATTTTTCTCTCACAACAAAACATCTACCGTCGGCTTTAATGCCAGCCGAACAGGCCCTAAATGGCGAATGGTTTGTTTATTTGATTAAGCATGAAAAACAATTTTTATAAACAAAAATTTATTGAAAGTAAAAATTTGCTAAATAATAAAACCTTAGAACTTTAGTTATGCTTGTAAATGCTTAAAGTTGCTTTAGAAAATAAATTTTTGGAAGCTGAAATAATATAAAATATAAGTAGGAAAAAAATCATATCGTCAGTAGGATATGAACATCGTGAATATGTTGGTATGCTTGTTCGAGTGTCAATATGATGTTTGTTAGTTTAAGAATAATAACGAAAGTACCGCTGGCCATTTATCTCATCTACCTCGTCGGTATGATGCGCACGTTATGTGATTGGACTGAGCTTGCTGGCCTTGCCGGCTGCTTGCGGTCCCTCCCTCTACTGGCCTTGTCACATGCTACTCTCTCTCTCCCCCACTCTTGTTCTACTGTGACCCATGTCCTTGCCACGAAGTCTGTCGGTTATCACGTGTGCCTGTAAGCCGAGGCCGAGCTGCAGCTGCCGCTCGTTTCACCTACCCCTGCCGCAGCCATGCCGTGTGGCCATTGTCTTTTGCCTTAAAGAAAGATGGCCTTGCCTTGCCTTCTTTCCCCGGCCCCGCTGTGTCCCACAGAGCACCTAGCCGCCGTAGTCGGCTACTGCCCCCACGGTCCCGCGCTGCTGCCGCACCACGCCGTGTGCGCCTGCGTCAGGATGTGCTTCTGGCACAGCACCGGTGCTCCCCGCTCCCTGCTCCCTGCTGCCTCGCGCGAGCTCCCGCCCTGACTGCACCACCGTCGCCCGGCCACCGCACGCGCAAGCGCACCCGAGCCTTGCGCCGCGTCCCCGTCGTGGCCGCGCCACCGCCCGGACCACG